ATGACAATGAATAGGTTATGCAAATTTTTTATGAAAAAAGAAAATTTGAGATGTAAATAAAATTTTTAGCATGTGTCCAAACAACTTATACCAGTATATACACCTTTTTAAAGTTACTTGATACAAATAATATTTAGTATGTGTAAAAACTTACAGTATTTTTTTTTTATTTGAAAAATGTTTAATAACTGTGTATTAAAGTTCATAGTTTAACATTTCAACCCATATCCTCCTGACATGTTCTTTTTTTCACATATTTTAATCATTTTAAGTTTATACTTTCTTGATTTCAGATAAAAAATTGGAAATTTTTGCTTTCCAAAATCATTTCCAAATAATTATAATTTCAATATATGGAATAAAAACAAGATATTAGTTTAAACTGATGCCATTAAGATATGGCATTATGACAGTTGGAAAATTTGTGATAAAGTACCTTCTCATTTTCTTAGATGCACTTATTTTAAAATGTTCATTCATGAAAAAAAAATTTACTCAACACTTTTGTAAAAAATTTAAAGACATTTCTTATAGCAAGCGAAATACACAATATAGGTAAGAAACGTGAATATAAATACTAATAAATACTAATAAATACTAATAATTATGATTAAGTAGAAGCTTTGCTTTATCTGGTAAGGAAAATTTATAATTTGTTGAAATTAGCAATAAATGCCTTAGATGCATAACATTTATCTCTGACAAGTAAAGTGAATCTTAATTGTCAAATTTATTTGTTACATTAACAAATGATAAGTTAAACTCAAGATGACTTTAGAGTATTAGCAAATGACATCAGTGCATTTGTGTTTGGCAAAAATCATGCTAGCTGTGTGGGTCTAGTTAAAATGACATCATTAATTCTGATTCACAGTGAGTTCTTTAGTTAAAAGTGAGATAGAACATGACATATTGACATAATAAGATAAAAAGAGATGTGTGCATTTGAACTTCTAATCATAAATTTGTATTGATTACAAATCTCCTGTTTTTTCTGGCTTTTCCCCACTGATTGATCTACAGAAGGCATTATGACATAATATTGCAAAAAAAAAAAAAAGATAAATAAAAATGAAGCATGATCCATTCAATGCTAAGTTTTTTGGGTTTTTTATTTCAATAAAAGGTAGCATTTCTTGGATGATTCATGCCAAAAACCCCAAAATGAAAAAACTATTAGCTTATTTCTGAAAAAAAAAAGAAAAAAAACTTTCCTTACTATTCTATGTAAAACTTCTTGAAAATGTTTCAGTGGTTTCTAAGATTTTAGTGTTACTAATAATAAAAGATGCTTACAAATCAGAATGTGGTGCCCCTTTCCCACTAACCCACAGAGTTATGTCTCAGACTTGACCCTAAGCAGTAGGAGCAGTCAGCATTCATTACTGCTGACTTAGCAATTTCTACCAAAGCAAAAAAAAAAAAATATTAATTAAAAAATTAACTGTAACAAGAGAATGATTCCAAACTGTAGTAGATGTCTGCTTTGATTAAAAATTCTACACAATTTATAATTGAAATAAAAAGGGTTTTCAGTCAAATTAATTGTAAGTGAGATTATCACAAAAATGTATGGCAATGAAAAACAGAGGCATGAGAATGAAATGATGTTAATCAATTGAACTTGAAATAAGTAGATAAATTTTCTTAAAATCTAACTCAAGTCACTAGGAAATGAATGAATGTAACTTGATTTTAAATTTGTACTTATATTCAAAAATATTATCAGAACACTTTTTCAAAATTAAACTTTTTGCAGCATTATTTAGCATCAGATTTTTGTATGTGTTCTAAAAACATGAAATAACAAAACCAGACAACTTAAACTCTTCTTAATCATAGAAGTGATAGTGTTTGTCATTTAATTCTTGTCATTTCCTAAACTTTATAACAATTTCAAAATCTTATTCTGAAATCAAAGTTCCCAATCTCAGATCAACGACTAACAGATTACAAATGTATCACTTTCTCAAATTACCTGATTTGAATCAATATTGCAAATTTGTACTCTTAAAAAAGGTTCTGGATTTCACAAAATGTCAAAACTTTATAGAAATTATACACTTAATTTTTTTGAGGTACTTTTGCTGTACTTCTTCCATAAATTTTAATGTAGAACTTTTTTTTTTACACTAAGATGCTGTTCATTCATAATACCAAACAAATTTTGAGTATAGCCAGCTGTTGCTATATGATTCCTCATTTATCTTATACAAGAGTTTGACCTGAAACTCTCATTATGTCAATTTCAGTATGGTATCAACTGAACAGAATATTTATACCTTGCTAATTTATACTGATAAGTTTCTGATTAAAGCAATTCTTAATTTAATGAAGCTTTCACTGAGATACAAATAGAAAGAGAGATTCAGAAGACTGAATTGAAAGTTCTTAACAGAGAGACCAAGAAAAAAGTTCCTTTTCAGATTGACATTTGTATAGGTTATACAGCTTAAAGTATAGCCATTTCCTTTTGCACTGACAAATTGTATCAATGAAGCATGAATATATGTTCTTTTGTAATTACTTATGAACAAAATGAAGGATTTTTGCTCATACACATTGAAGCCCTACAAAAGATATTAACAGCTATTGTAATTGTTATATTATTTCTTTAAGAATTAGATAAGTCAAGATTGTGTAACCACAATTCCTAAGCTAACTTTATTTGTAACATTTAAAGCAATTTTATCACTGCTTAACTAATTCAAAATATTTAAACTGATTACAAACTACCAATAAGCACATGTAACCATCAAAAAAATTCTTTTTTCTGCTTTTTATCAAAAGTTCACTAGTTTTTACCATTTTTACAGAACATTTTGCTTGTATGAGCATCGTGGCATCTGAACAAGGGAGGGGCAAAGGTAGAGGAGGAGATTTAAGAGAGGGTGGTTGCAAGAGAAGATACATAACTGAGAAGGACTGGTTCTAAAAGAGAGAGAGAGAGAGAGGAAGAGATTGGGCTAAGTAAAGAGGAAGTTGTTGGGAAATGTAGATATTTTAGTAGATATTTGGGGGGGATGAAGAAAGAGGAGGAGGCTGGCTACTTGCATCCAGCCATAACATTAAACTCAGCAGTTAAGAAATGAAGTGCTGTGTCAGCAAGTCTCAGACATAACAGTCAGTAGTGGTACTTTTGGTTAAGCAGGTGATGGAAGGTGGGGGTGAAAGTGGGTAGGTGCTTTCCAGGAATGGGTGGGTTTATAGTCTACACTGAGTTTGCAGGATGGTGATGATGGTTGTGATAATGATGAAGATGATGATAATGTATAATGGAGATAACTCTATAAAGAAAACAAAATATTAAAACAGAAAGGGAAAAAGGGCATCCCTACTTTCCAAACAAAATGAAATGCTGACATATGCATAAAGAAATACTTAATAATTTTGATTAAAAAAGTTTTCTAGAGTATAAAAATGATTTTTTCATTTTTAAATATCTATTTCATTGGTAGATATTTGTGAATAAGGAATTTCATGCTATTTTCATTAAACATTAAAATTCAAAGACTATTTAATTCAGGTTTTTTCAAACTGCTTTGTCATGACTGTTCAGTCTAATTAATTAGATATTCTTTAATTATTGGCAAAAGGTTTCATGGAATTATTTTTCATATACATTGTAGTGATATGTAAAGACTGCCTAATTAGCATAGCTAGAGCATAGACTATATAAATACACATGCAGTAAGGGCAGAGCAGCTCTCTGTACGTTAGATAAACGATTACTGCTGGACTGATAGAATACAAAATGGCACTCCCTAACATTCATTTTCAATTATATATTTGGCTTTTTTATTATTTTTTTTTCTCTAACAAATCCTAAGTAATATGGCACAAAGAAAATTTATTTTTAAATTTTTTGCTAATATTTGGAAAGTACTGATCTATTAAGTTTTGTAGTTTTCTAAATCTTTTTACTGATAATTCACAATTTATTAAAACATACCACCTTTATATTCAACAGGTGTTTTTTTAGAAATCAGTATAATCAGTTTGTAAATGAAAAAAATGGTTTATTAAGTCATTTAAAGCCTTAAAGGTTCATTGAAAATAATAAAAGTAGTAAATTTTAAATAATTAGCTAATTATTATTTAGATACCATAAAATGTTTTACAACTTCAGTATTTGCCAGCAGATTAAAACTATTTTTAAATGAGTATTGAATCAGCATTATTTAAACATACTTTTAAACTCTTCTCAAAGCTTAATGATTTTTATAAATTCAAAACCTTTTTTAAATTTCGATAATTTTTAAAAAAATTATTGATAAATTTAAATTTATTGCATAGAAAATTTATAATACTAAAATTATTTAAAAAAATATTGCCAGAAGTGATAATGCAAAGTAACCTGATAAAAGAGTTTGAATTTTAAATAAAATAAAATCAATGGGATTTAATTTAAATCTAATTTAAATGGGATTTAAAAATAAAAAATAAGAATAAGTGAAAACATTTTTTAAGTTTGAAAGCTCTGGGGATTCTGAGTTAGTGGCAATATTTGAAAGGATGGCATGTCAATTTAATGTACTTGCCAATTGTCACAGACACACCCACAGTGATTCAACCAAGTAGAAATTTAAACACACCCACTGATGATGACAACAACTATCTGAGTATTTTATTAAAAAAGAAAGAAAGAATAAAGGGAATAGAAATAGTGAAAATTTCAATTGCATAAGCACTGCTTAGTTGAGTATACATAAAAGATTAAATATGCAAATAAAAAGAAATTTTAATAAAATGGTGTTAAAAAAAAAAAAAAAGAAAGATAAAAAAAATTGTGAAAAAAAGAATGTAAATACTAAAAAAGGTTTGATGGGACAGAAATGTTCAATTTCTGTTTCAACTGGAAAATACCCTAGAGTGTGAAGTGTTATTGATGCTGTATAGTGGCAAAAACAAGTGTATAAAAAAAAATCAATTAATGAGAGGATCTTTGCTGTTTTTTGTTTTTGCAATCAATGGTGCAGAATCTTAAAGGAATGTCTTACCTGAAGGGAGTGGCACATTAGCGCTGTATGATCCTGAAGAAAACAGAACCACCAGGAGCAGTAGTTCCAGAATGCATGAATAAGGTTTATTAAACCATTTCCAAAAATTAGTATTTTGTCCCCGCATATGCCCTGGAACATGGCAATCCAATGCAAATAAGTAAAACTTCCCCATAATTTCTTCCGGCTTTAGTCAATCCATATATCCCAAAATTGCCGGTCTTCGTTCCTACTCCATGCTAGGAACAGAAAAAGGTTACCGGCCTGCTGAGACTATGGAGTACTCCTTGGCCACTACTTCTTGTTTCAATAGCCTGTACCTATGGCAAGATGTACTTGCAAAGGAACAAGCTACCTTAGGAACTGTGGAAGTAATGAAGTTATGGTGGGACAGACCAGCCAGGATTGGCTGTCAGGGGAGGACCTAAGCCACCTGATAGGGTGATGTAGTAACCAATATTAGTAGGCTAGAAAACAGTCCCACATCAAAGCAGGGTATGAAGATTTTATGAAAAAGTCTGTGCACATTTAGGCAAAGGCAGATGTTTTAGAGGAAGGAAATTGCATGGTGGGCCCTTGATTATACATAAGCAAAGCAAGCAGTCAGTCAAAGACTTTGGTAACTTATTGTGAATGTGGTGGAAAGGGAGAGGGAGAGAGAGGGGGGAGGGATAAAAGTCAGCCAAGGAGGTGTGGAGAGGGGTGGACCTGAATGGATGGATGGAGAGGTTTGGTTAAGATGGTTACAGGGAATCCTCCTCTTTCACTTGTTCAACCCTCCTTTCTTATGGTCAGCCTCCTCATCCTCCTCCTCCTGTCAGCTTTATCCATCCTTCACCACCCTATCAGCTCTCTTTCCATCTTATCCATTCGAACTAGCCCATCCCACTCACCTTTCAACTGTATCACCATGTTAACACTCATTCACACACACATACATACATACATACAGAACAGTGTATATAGACAGCGTATGATAAGAATTAGATGTTATAACATCACAGACTATTACATAATTACACAAGACACAATGCATACGCATAAACAAGTGATATGCAGAGTTATATATTGTAAAACTGATGCAGGCACCAACAGAATGGTGCAGTACCAAAATTTTTGTGGCAGTCTATTCCAGTCACTATTTCCTGTCACCAGACAAACTTAATTCCTAAGGATAGACAAATGACAAGAAAAGATTTTACTTTATTTCTGAGGAGGAAAGTAGGTTATGCTTGTTTCTCCAACAGTAAGAAAACATTTCCTTAAAAAACTCAGAAAACTTTATGTCAAACATCAAAACTATATACATTGTGTGTGTGTGTGTACAAATGAGTGTGCATGTCTAATCTTTATCACAGTATCAATTTTCTTGAAAACTTGTATAATTTAAAGATTAATGAAAATCTTGAAATCCTAAAATGTTCAAATGAAATGCAAACTGTTTTATAATCTCGTTCAACTTCAGATTAGTTTTCTAACAAGTTTGTCTGACATAAAACACAGAATGAAAGAAATAACCAATTATGGACAATACTTTTCTTAAATTCTTCAATAAAAAGAACTTATTAAAAGATGTTATTTGAGTAATAAATAGGTGCAATTAATTTAACATTTGAGATATGAATTTTAAATGCACTTGGCATAATTATGGAATGGACTTTTTTTTCAAGGTGAATCAAAATTTAAAGCATGACCAATTCAGTACTAATGACAGAACTAACAATTTGATTGTTTGATCAACTTATGATTACACTTTCAAATGACATTTTCTAAATAAAAAATAAAGCTTTCTGTTAAAATAATCATTATATGTAACTTTTAATAAGAAAAATAAATATAGTTACAGAATCTTTTAGAATTACACAAAAAAAACTCTATTAATTATATATCAAAGTTCAATCACAAAATGAAATAAAATAAACAAAAGCTTTTTTTGTTTATAAAAACAATGCATCAAAGATTTTATTAATTTTTTTTTTCAAAAGTTATAAAACATCATTTTTTTTGCTATTTGTGTCTTTCTACTTGAGAAGATTATTGTTATAGTGATGTTGGCGATTGTGTGGAGTGTGAAAATGTTAGAAGAGTTAATGGTGGCAGTTCCTTTGAAAAGGAGTGGGAGGGCCAAGAAAGAAACTCTAAGTAGAAGAAAAAGTTTTTCTCCAAATCAGCAGATATTTATTTACTGACACAGCATTTTTTTTTCAGTGCTTACTGCTGCCTCCAATTCTGTTCTACTCTGAAACAGAATGAGATGTGTGTGTGTACAAACACACACACACACACACACACACACATATATATATATATATATATATATATATGTATGTGTGTATGTGCAAATAATAAAATTTAAGCTAAAGCTTAAAATAAGCTAAAAGCTTAAAATATAAAATAAAGTGAAGACTCAATACCAAAGTTGGCAGAGATTAAATATAGTATATTATAATAATATTAACACAATAATATTAAAATGGTAATCAAAAACTCACTATTCAGTATCAAATTTTATTTTGATTACCATTTTAATATTATATATATATATATGCACACCAAGTTTTTGTAGCTTGACATATTTTCTCAACTATAGAGACTACATTGTCTGCATTATGTCTAAAATATACGTATGTACCTCAAATAGTAAATGTATATGTATTCTTGTATACTGGTGAAAGTATTTATTTAGATATAGAAAATATAAAATATTATAAAGGACAAATATAAATGTAATAGTGTAGATGTATAATGTTTTGTTAAGCAACTATTTAAAGAAACTTAAAATTATATATATGAAAATTATATGACATCATTACAAAAAATAGTTAATCTATCAGTCTTTCTGCTTAGGAACTTGCATGATTCTTTATGTGCAAAAAAATAATCAACAAATACTAAAGTCAGGTAGGATATATGAAACTTAATTCTAAATTAAATTTCAAAGTTTTCTGTACAAGTTAAACTGAGAATTGAAAAGATAAGCAAAAGAAAAAACCTTTTGTCAATTTCATTAAAAACATGAAACAAGATTTACTTCAGGATTTTACTAACCAGTCATTTTTTATTTAAATATTATCTTAATAATTTTTGTTAATTTCTGTTTGAATTTCTGGGATGAGGTGTTATCAATATTTACATGAAGGTTATCCAGATTGAGAGAGACTTGAAGAAGGCTGGAGTGTACAAAGGTTGAAACTTCATGACAGCATAAAAAACAAGTATATTAGTCTGAATATAAATGATGTATATATTCATTTTTGTTAGTTTAACAAACTTTCACACATAAATCTATGAACTGAAATGATCCAAATAAAATTGATATATCATTCATAAATTATTGTAATTCCCAATGTATATGTTGCATTGTCAAAAGCAACACGAGGCTATTTTTCTTAAATTACTAATAAAAACAATTACAACACTGGTAATAAGTGAGCCAATAATTATTTACTGCGACAATCAGGCCAGTATTGCTTTGGCTAGAAATCCAATAATACATCAAAGATCAAAGCATATCGATATTAAATATCAATTTGTTAGGGATCAAGTACAAAAGAAAACAGTACAAATTGAATACGTTCAATCGGAAAATAATATGGCGGATTTATTTATAAAGCCAATTACAAAATTGAAATTACGGGCTTTCACTTCTGCTATATTTGGTACTGACTTATAAGTTCCTTATTAGTCCTGGGCAAGACGTAAAACTGCATCCATTAAGTCCCTCTTAGGTCCTTATTAGTCCTGGGCAAGACGTAAAACTGCATCCATTAAGTCCCTCTTAGGTCCTTATTAGTCCTTGTCTTAAGAAATGTCAGTCCAGTTTTTGGTATGAATGTGAGTCCTTAGTTTCGGGGTATAAATGTAAATAATCCTACTTTTAGCCTAATCCTCCTCAAATGACCCTCAGGATCACTCTGACCTGGAGTGATAGTGACTGTTTTAATGGGTCCCAGCTATGGGTAAAATAACAATTTTTTCCACTTTTTTTTGTTGTGATCACAACCCAAATTTATATTGTTGTTAATGTTTATTAACCCGAAGTACTTAACTGTGGACAAAATGATATGTCTAATTTTTTGTGGATATTAACTTTATTAAAAAAAAAATACAAATAAAAAAAAAAAAAAAAAAAAAAAAAAATACAAATAAAAGAAACAATTTTATTACATTATGAATACTAAAGAAAAAAGAATTTTTCTGAATACTAAAGGATTTGTTCCATATTAATATTGACTTTACTAATATTTTGAAAGAAGATTCCATAATATACCCAAAAATGAGGGGGGTGTTGCAGTTTTTTGTGTATATATCTACTAGTGAGTTAGCCCAAATGACTTGACTCACTTTATAGTCCACCAATAGAAGGTTAACCAATCGGTGGACGTAGAATGTTCAATCCGGCCATTTTTGTTCACTCTACCCGATTGGTTAACCAGAAGACAGAATATTCAATCCGTCATGTATAAAGGCGGCCATTTTGTTTACTCTATCCGAATGTCCAGTGCCAGCTTGTCAGGTGAAGAGGAACAGAAGGAATAACTACACTCTGCTACTTTTACCGGGATATCCACTGCTAACCTGAACTACGATTCTCTACTGTCTTCGAAATATTCACTGCTAACCTCTGGATTCTATACTCAAAGACGACCGTCATCATGAACAACATAATATGCATTTTTTAAAAAAAATAATAATCAAAATTACAGGTGTGTATTATGAACAGCTACAAAAAATATCTTCAAAAAATTGCTATTTCATAGGTCAATTTCAGTTGCAAAATGACTACTCAACACAAACATACAACAATTTGACACTAACATTTGGTGATTGTGACCTCACAAGGATGTCAAATACAATCACATGTACCTAACAATACTTACAAATGTAAAATAAAATAAGAATTATCGTAAAACTTTTATGTTTAAAACCATTTTTTTTAAATAAAAGTAGGAATCGCTAGCTGTAATGAAATTGGAGAGGTACAATTTATAGGGTTTGATAACCAAACAAGGGATGTATATTATGCATGAGTAGAAGGATATTCCTACACTTTCAACACAATTTTAGGGGTGTGTATTATGGATGAAAGCGTATTATACATAGGGAATTAGAGTATCTTAAACTGAA